TTGTACAAATTACTCATGTTTGTATGTGCATACAACAACAACATCAATAGAAACAACAATGTTAGTGGCTCTTTGATGCAAGAATTCTAACACTACTTTATGCATAACTTTTGCCATATTGTCAAATTCAGGTAATTTTCTTGTTTATGTAAAATTGGAATGTGATACTTTATTTTTATTCCTTGTAAAAACATGTTCCTTATAATGCAATCTAGCACCTGCAGATTTTTTTGATTCATTTGACAGCTCAAGTAAAAAACCTTTCATTTCGAAAACAATTTGCACAATACCCATCATATATATATAAAACATCTACAAATAAAAAGCACATTGTCCAACAAGAAATAGCACCAATAAAAAAAAACCAGATTTTGTATGTTTTATTCTCCTCTACATAGACAGAAAATCTCTCCTTTTTAAAATATAAAAGGTGGATATGAGAAATGGATGAAAATTTGTCCTTCTTCCAAACTAGTGAACGATGTCAAAAAGTCATAACTCAGTTATGATGAGGAATGTTGCCATTCCTGTTAGAATCCAGAACCCCTTGAAGGAAAGTCCTCTCATTCTGTACAGCCTTACTGCAATAAGGCAACGACTGTTCACGTCGTTCCCGGAATGAGAACGCCTGAGTTTCGTTACGGGGAACTGCGCTATGAATGCGTTCCCTCCCAACGGGAACGAAAGCCACCGAACTAACACGAGGAACTTAAGTCCTCGGAATCTACAGTAGATCTCCTCGACATTGCCACGTAGGAAATTGAAGTTGCCACGTCGGATTCCCGCGGGGTCGAGGGGGGAAAAAACAGCGTCGAATTGAATACCTTGGGACTCAGTACTCAAAATCTAGAGATATCTATACATACGTAGAATTAATTCTATTCCACGTGAGACGAAGATGCTGAGATTAATGCATAGCGGTGATCACCCCGCCATGCATAGATGCCCCCCCAGCACACCTATCCGAATTTTCAAAAATGCGTGTGCCACGTGAGCATCCTACGTGGCGTGGATCTCCGCACGTGAGAGTGTGAAGGTGGGCTCGATATCTGGGGAGGAGGCATGTTCATACATGTGCGGAGTTTCCAAGATATGTATGTATGTATGTATGTATGTATGTATGTATGTAAACCTTTGAGTTCGTGTGTGTGGGGGAAATTGGGTGGGCACGCGAGTGCTTTCTCCGAACCTCGATTTGAAACTGCCACGTGGATTATGTTTACGTGTCATTGGAAATTTTATTTTAAAAAGAAAAAAAGAAAAAAAGAAGGAGAAAATGAACATCTTTTGTTCACATTTGTCCTTTAAAAGGACTAGTGCAACGCTTAGAGTTGCTATTGTAATTGTAATAAAGTGTGGTTTACTTTATGAAATGTGTAGTTTTTGTGATTGTTAGGTCCTTTATTTTATCCCTTAGGTTAGAAATTGTGCTTACAAGAGTTTTTTTTAATTTTATTTATTTATTTTTTAAGTTTTTTTTTTTTGATTACAAGATAAGTTCTGGTGTAGATGTTATTGGATTCAAAAGTTCAAGGGATTGGACTGTGACAAATGTAGTATCAGCTGTTGGTAAAATTGTATCTACATTCACCCATTGTTTTAAAATAGGAAAATTAAATTGCTCTAGTTATTTTTGTCGTAGTTCATCTAATCTTATTCATTGTTGGAATATAGACATTAGAATGCTCTTACCTTCAAAAGGATCAAAGTAATGGAACATGATACCTTGTTCTAATCTTACTTTGAGTGGACTTTTTTCAAATAGCAAATAAATTAGGCAAGGATTGGGATGATGAAACATTTTATACTGTGTTTTCTCATGTCTATTTCTTTCTTTTTACAAGTTATTTCCATATTGTTTGTATGATTTTTGCTTATTTTGACTTACTTTTCATCATTTAAGAACATTGTGTTATTTCTACAAAGTAATTGTGTTGATTACAATGATTTAGAAAAGTGCTCTAAAGAATTATTTCTCTTAATTATATTATATACATATATTTTTGTGTACTTACAATTGCTAATAAGAAAATGTTTTGTAGCAAGTGTAACAGATTAACTTTGTTTTCAATAATCTATGAAAGAGCCTGCACTAAAATGAAATTGATATTATATGGATAGAATCTCAGATTTGTGATCAATTTACAAATTTCCCATTTTTTCATATTAAATATAAACAAAAATAAATAGCAGAATTGAATATCATGATAAAATTATAAGGAGTATATTTGTTTTGTAAATGCTTCTCTATCTTGAGAAGCTGGGTGTGTGTGTGTCTGCCTTTTCCTTACTTTTCTTTTCTTCGTCTGTAATTTTTTTTTTTCTACTTAAAACACTAGATTAACAAATATTTAGTTAGTTCAAAATGTACACTGCATAATTGAAACACAATTTTTTTTTATTAAAAATAACCCAAAAAGTGAATAGTGTCAATGTGATTTTGGCAAAAGTTGCAACAGAAAGAAAAGTAATGAAATAAAATTTTGCATGTCATGATTTAAATGTATTGAGAATAAATCAAAATATGTACAGCATGAATTTTTATATTATTTATGAACATTGAATTTATATTCTTACAGAATTTCATGAAATCATAAAAAAAAAAGATACAGGCAATTCTTTTATATAAATGTTCCTCAACCAAAATCTTCATAGAAAATCCTACTCTGCAGCAAAACCAATTCTCTAAAACGAATCCTTACAATAAATTATGCAGAAAATGAAAGAACTATACATGAATAAAAAAATACTATATATATATATATATATATATATACATGTATATATATATATATATATATACATGTATGTATATATATATGTTAAAAAAAAACCAGTTAGTGATGAATATGAAAACTAATCGAATTTATAATCGACTTTTAACCTACGGGTTTGTGATAGACGCCAACGCGCGGCGGCGCTTATTTGACCACTGTAGCCGGTATCACCACCGGCAGTTCCAGTTGCAATTCGAATCGTTCCCTTCTTAGGGTTTCTTCAGTGTCGTAATTTAAACATGCTTTCCATATTTGGAAGGGTGCTGCTTTGCAGCATTTCGGCCACAAATCTGTTGCCGTGGTAGCGAGAAACCTTAATGTTACTGTTTCTTGCTGCCTCAAGGCCTTGACCGCAGTAACATGTCCCAAGTTTCGATCATCTTGTACGATTGTGTTTATTTTGTGTGCAACACAATCGGTGCGTGATCACGGGTCAATCAAACGAATGTCGAACTGTTGTTCTGGCGCTTCTAAGACCCCATGCTACGATTAGGCTTTTGCCGTACATCCGACGCGTCGGAATTGAGAGAGAGAGAGAGAGAGAGAGAGGGGCTCACTAGAGAATCTAGGCAAATTTCAATGTGGATGAGAGCTTCAGACCTGTATGTCAATCTCACATGAAGGAAACAATTTCTTGGCTGTTGTTGGTTCTCGTTTCTCAATTCCGTGGCGTCATGTATTACTAGAGAACCCATCATTTCATTTGGTGACAGCTTATTGTGAGGATTCGAAGTCGTCGTTAGAATGGTTCAACGTGAACGTCACCTACGCCTGCAATGTTAACATGCAAACGTCCTCTGAGAAGAAACGTGGTTGTCCCCATTAATCTCATGCCGATCGAAGCACGTGAATCAGGTCCTATACGAGGCGTATCCCCAGTATTTTTTAGTCTTCGACAACACAGGGAAAAGTCTATTTTACTGGGAGCTTTGACAGGTGGGGAAATCAATACGGGTTTGTCCTAGGAGATGCGCGTCTTTCACTATCCTATACGGCTAGATGTGTTGATTACTGCTCGAAACAATTTTCGGAGGTGAGCCTGTTGATAGTTCTTGAATGTCCTTTTCAATGAAACTGTACTGTACATCTTTGGGAAGTCATCAGACAGGATGATCAATCGAACTATTTGTTTGTTGGGCTGGTCCTGCACTGAATTCTTTGCGTCTTGGTCGTAAGTCGTGTGTTGACAGGGCTTTCAAATAACTGTTAATCCACCACCGCTTCAAGCTCGATGTGTGGGATGTTAGCGGTCTTGTACCTTTCGTAATTATTTACATCCCGAACAGGATGAGCTGATAGGCACACAATTGAACTTAGAGGTAGATTAGTTTTCCGGAAGTGGCTTTAGGCTTTGAAACATGTTGACGTTGCGTTCGATTGCATCACTCGTGGTGAAGGAATCATTCAAATTAGGGGTTGCGACGTTTAACGTGCTTCTCCAAGAACACACCAGCAATCCTGAAAGATATTGACTTGCTGTTTCGATTTCTAACAGCTCTTAGGTCTCGAACTGAAATGCCTGCTTGTATGCCTTGTAGTTTAGCTCGACTAATGCATGCTTGACCGCATCTTCAAGATGTTGGAAGACTGATGTTGCTTTTAGGTGTTTTGATAGGAACGCGTAGATCACTTCAAGCTCTCACTTGTTTGCGAAACAGAAAATGATGAGCCTAAGGTATTTCGGGTCTTACATAATGTATGGTTTATATTTTTAAAGGGTTTTTACATGGATTAATTCATAAAGCATATCGAACTTCTGTGTTACAAAACGAGCTCCACATTTTGGAAATTTCCTTCATACAGACTTGCGTAGCCACCTGTCCGTAAGCGGTAAAACAAATATCAGCAAGCTGTGAAGTAAATGATCCCCTTCAGTGATTACCTGTACCACCAGCAACAAAAGAAATACCGAGTCACACTGAACTTTCGCACTAAATGCTTTGAGTCCAGGCATTCACTCAACCCCCTTGCACAACTACCAGAGATTAGTTGATTAAAACAGCCGGTCTCTATCCCAACGTGATGGATATTAGTGTGAGTATGGTGGCAGGACGATTGCTCATTGTGCAGAACTGCACATAGTGACAGATAATAAAACCCTAATATCCAAAACAACTACACTACGCATGTGTAAAATAACAGTGGTTAATATGCACAGCCTGCACAATGTTCTCAAATTAACTAATACCGATAGGTGGGGCTCACTGGTCGATAGCCAGACGGTAAAAACCACACAATTGCAATCTCATTCTCAGTCCCTATTTATTATATACTGCTGGATGCTCCAGTTACCGTAACAGGAAACGTTACCTTGAAGGCGTCCAATGTGACAGAGAATCAAGTGAGCAAAAACAGGGCAGTACATACTTGGTGGAAGCCAAAAAATGAACCATGCCATATATTTACAGGACACTGCTGAATTCCACTCGATAGAAAAGCCGTAACAGTCCTATTCAAAACGTTAGTGAGATCACCATCTTGACCCTGGAAATTCAACGTGTGTCCCTTTTTCGCTGCTAATATACTGAGCATTTCACCGTGAATGTCAATACATGTAGTGAACACTGCTGAGTACCTTGAGGTCTTCGTATTCTTCACCTGTTGCAAGACCAGGATCTACATAGCAAATCTGGTACTCGGCATGCTTAAGGGTCTGAATCCCTCTTTTAAGTAACCTCTGCCATCCACTCTTATCTCTTAAAGCCCTGATAACATCTCCTGTTTTCTGAGAAGGATCAAGCACAATAAGGTAAACCTCTTCGGACACTCCCGGTCGCCAGCGTTTCTCAATCCCCACAATAGTTCTAGAGTGCCCTCTATGTTGAAAATACAACGGTGACCTCTTGCTGAACACAATTGGCTGCCGAAGCCGATCGAATGCACTAGTCGCTGAGGTCGCTTTGTTCGACCTTTCCATGAAGTAGTTCCATACCCAATCAACTATGTGTTGGTGTCGAGACGCATCAGCATCATTCCTGTTCCGTGAGCTACTGGCTGGCTCAGAATCCACACCCTCGTACTTCTTCGCCACATCTTGGTCGTGTTGGTTGGAGCTGTTTCTGAGTTTCTCCATACAAACCACACATAAGTCGGAATGTACAATGTCCGAGTGGCGATATCGCATACCCTGAATTGGATACTCTCCACAGCCTGTACACTCCAAGTCTTCGTTATTAACAGGAGAAGAGAGCCTGGATCTCGAAGTCGATCTCGAAGTCGACCTAGACCTCGAAGTAGAACTTGATTGGACTTCGGACGACGAGCCTGAATCTGGAGTTTTCCAAGACATAGTACTACTTCTTGTGGGTTCAGCACTTGAATCCTGCTCTTCCCCCCTACTGCTCTCCACATTCCCTGACCCGAAAGATTGAAAATCAACAATCCTTGCACGCAATCCAAAAGAACGCAACAAAGCAGCGCACTCAGTAGTACCAATCCACTTCTGAGTCCCTCCAATTTCCCAATTGAAGTAGTCGGCCCCCGGTGAATCAAACCCTTTGCTCCAGGCAACCTCAACCCATCTCTGCAGCGACAAAATATCCGGCACAAACCCACAGCCCCCAAATAACACGTCTCTAGCATCCTGATCCGCTACCAGCAGGTATGAGGCCAGCATCTGAATGTTCCTCCACCCACATCCCCACCCCAAATCTTCCCTGTGCCGGCTCTCATAGTGTTCCATCCAGCCGGACAAAGCGATCGTGGAGGATCCCTTCCTGTGATCAGCTTCCAGACATTTCTCCAACAAATGCATAAGTCCTTCTCTCACTGGCACTGTCGTCTTCTCCTTCATTTGGCATGACATCAAATACCTCACATTCTCCTCCAGGGACTTGCTGGTAATTTTATTCGACTTCCACTGTTCACCCTCTCCATAGGAAATACTACGAGGCCGCTTGCTCATGCATTCTTCGTTACCCGAAGTCTCCTGCAGAGCTAGCTTGTGCTGAAGACAATGTGATTCCCATTCTTGAATAGGAACCACCTGGTTGCAACCCCTGTCACATTTCACAGAATACTGGCATTTATCTGTCTTGCTAATTCTGGTCTTCAGCTTGGGCTTTGGCATGGGCTCGTCCCTCGTTGAGGCAATCTTCTGGGCATAAGCTCTGTCCCGTTCGATTTCTTCTGCATCGAGGTGTGAGTTCACATGATTATCAAGCTGCACCACGGGCATCGTGCGGTGACAGAGGGGACATTTATCCTTCCCGTTAGACTTCTCCATGCTGAAGAAACCTGGTGCTCAATCCGAGCGTCAGTCTAAACACTGCGCATGCCTCGCCGAGAGTTTTCTGCTGCTGCACGTGATTATGGCATCGGTAGCCCAAAAAACCTAAATGCGCTCCAGTGTTCCATTTGATAATTTCATCCATCACCGGTTACACGGATTGTCGGCATCAATCCTACATTACTACCAAGTGATCTGTGAGCACTGCGAAAGAATTCCTCTGGTCTTAAATGAGGCAATTAGCAAAACGTCATCGTGTGCTTCGCACCACTTCTGCAGGTCACGAAAGCGGTTGATTCTCTCATGCACCTTCTGAATCTAAATCGCTTGCCCAAGCCCCAAGATCCATGAATCCAAATGAACCTTCGCGAAACACCTAACTCTACTAAGTATTCCAAACAGATCACAACATTCACCAATGTAGAATTCTATAATACCATCAGTAATCCCAGAGAATCTGACAAACAACTGCATGCACCAAGTCCGCTTCTGAGCAAGTGTAACCCACGAGAGACAGAGCACCAATAGACTGATGATTTGTAACCCTTAAAACCAGGAATCGCTCTAATTAAATAGAAAGATAGGCACGAAATCCGTTCGAGATTCTTACCGCATCTGATGACCAACAAGGCGTTCATCAGAAACGGGTACCCAGAATGTCACGTCTGATTTACATGAGCAAAGACACACATCGGAAGAGCTGAAGAATTTGAAAGCCACTCACCTCGTCCTGAACACCAAAACACAAGTGAATCAAAACCTCTCTTACACCACATGGTTCTATTTGCTCAATCCCATCACACCCCCACGCATACACAGAACGCGCAAAACACCAAAAAGAACGTGACGCTGAGCTCAACATCCGGTGCAGTCGTGTGTAAAAGTGACGATGAATCGAACCTAAAGGAAAGATTTGGTTACATGAAATGTTCTAGGTCAAGCCTGGGCCATTGAGGTGGCCCCACATAGCTACGCGTTATGGACACCGCCGACGCCTGAACCGAAATCCGACGATGAAAACCTCCATTTCGAAATGGCCCACATATTGTGCAAAAACAATTGGCCGCAATGGCTCAGTTGGGTGACCGCGTAGGCTAAGAAAAGAGCTTAAGCTCTCAGACGAACAGAAAAACGATGATTTGGTCTAGAGACCAGGTGTAGGCCAAAGGGGGTGACGCTTCAACGAAACATGCCCAGTCATCTGCCACGGGGGGTAACCCTGCACACGTGCAGGAAAGCAAGGAAATCGATGATGTGTCGCACGCACTTCGTGTTTTTCTTCGCTCACTCTACGTGGGGCAAGTTTAGTAACGTGTTGCCTTTTCGGTGAGCGAGCATGAAGCTCGTCGACATGCTGTTTCTGATATGAACAGTTCGCAGGTTAACTGAAAGCTGCAAAATGACATCTTTGCTTCGAGGAGTTCAAAGACTTCAACTGGGTCGTGTACATATCTGCAAGCTCCTTCACTCCTCCTCGTTCTTGTCAACCCTGTCGAAACAAACCATTCATTCCTCTTCGTAAGTTGCCAGGGGGGCCTTTGGGTCACTGGTGCTCAAACCCCTATCTCCCGGTGCGAGGCTCCAGAGCGATAAATGAGGCAAGGCAACCCAAGCTCAAGTCCAAGCTACGACGGAAGGCCACGGTACTAACAATTTCTAGCCGCTGTGGCACCCCACGGGCTTCTCAACTCCACATGATCAGCAATGTCTGGATCTGCACTATGCCGCATCGTAGGCCTTCACGGTATCGACAAGTTCCGAGCGGTGTGGACGAATCTGCAATGGTTCTCTCGATCGGCTCGTCACAAGCACATCGCCATTCGATTCTCTCGTGGACCACAAAAACTGTAGTCGGAGCTAGAAAACTCAACGGGGCACTCTGCTCGGCGCCGACCGCTTCTGAATCGGCGGAAGACAGGAATTGTGATTCGGAGGCGTGCATTACATCAAATCGAAGACAATCAAATGGCGGATCAGAGCGTGTTTCGAGTCGGTATCTCGCAGTCTGCCGAAGACGCTCAACAGCGACGACGACGACAACTTCCTTTCAAGAATTAATCAAGTTTTTTCTCAAGGAAATGAGAGGATTAAGGTGCCACTTAAATTAGAACACACCCACTCCATCTTACTATACTTTTCCACAATTAAAAACATTGTAAACTTGATAAGCACTAGACTTATTTCTGACCTAATAGGTGTCATAACTGGTCTTAAATAGGATGTTGGACTTGCAAAAATATTCCACCCTATATAGGGTGGAAATGGGAGGGATTGGCTACCTTACACAGGAAGCTTAAAGTGTATCTTTTGAACTCTCTTCACCAACTAGTATAACATGTGTTATAATTTTTATTATTCATTTATTAAGGTTTTATAATCTAATAATGTTAGTCCACTTCCATCAAATAATTATAATTTAAATAATATCATAAAATAGATATACTTTCAAAAATAATTAATAGTAATATCCAATTTAAATCATATTATGTATTTTTATAAAATATTATAAATAAATATTTTTTAACTAGCTAATATTAGATAATATTTTAATAAATATTATAGCAACTTAGTCTTATTCATGTATACATTATAAACAATTCCATAGTAGTTGCAATGTACATAATATAAATTAGTTGAAATTTGACCACTTAAATTTAGAATTTTATATTATTTAATAGACATAGTGTATATAATTTAAAATATTATTAATAAGTAATCAAATATTAATAATAATAAAATTTTAAAATGTATAAAAATGTATAAAATATTATATAAAAATATATAAAACATATATAAAACATATATAAATGTATGTATATATATATATATATATATATATATTTATATATGTATTAAAATGAATAAATTATCAAATTAGATCAAATTGATATAAAGTGTAAGTTATTCAAAATCAATTCACTTTAAAATTATATATTTAATAATTAAGATTTATTTATGTATATATATACATACAGTTTTTATCTTTATAATAATATTTAAAAATAATGAAACATGAAAAATAAACTTAAATTTTTAAAGAAAATGAAGAGAAATTATTGTGGTAAAAAATAAGTTTTTTTTCACAATGAAAAATTTATTTATTTAAAGTAGAAACCTTGTCTCATTCTTATATATATATATATATATATATATATATATAAAAGGATTAGATTTTTTTATTAATAGATATTGTGACATTTTTTTTACTTCTTTGTAGTATTTTGTCACAAAAAATAAATGTAGTATAAAAGTTTTAGTTTTTCATTATCTACAACAAAAAACAGCATGATAATTAATTTTAGGCTTTTGAAAGTCTAGTTTTAACAACATGAGGAATTGTTTACATATTTTTGCCTAATAATTCCAGAAAGAGTAGCAGCTTTAGTATTGGTTCTTATTGGTCGTAGAGAACACAGGTACAGGTAGTTCTAGTACATTTGACTCATTCTGGAAGTTCCCTATCAATGCCATGTAGCTTATCGTGTTTGTAAGTGCCTTTAGTTCAAACTTGAAGTAATTCTTTGGCCAACAGAGCATGGGATATTTCAACTTGTCCGGAGAATAGATTGCCGTTATCTTGTCTCGTTTGGATTGCTGAAGATCAGATCAAACAATGGAGCAGGACCGAAACTTAGGATGATGGTGTACGTACATGGAGAATACGCCGTTCTGAACACACTCTTCGGACAACTTCAAAGGAAGACAAACAGCGCTGTTGTATCCTTCTGGTGAGTGCCATAGTCGACATTAAAACATTGAAACCACGGTCGTCCAGCACTAAAACTTCCTTTTATGCCTCCAAGCTCTGTTGAAAATTATTTGCACTCAAAAGCTGCATTGTCTGATATTACTATGAACAATTGTGACAATTGTCCGAAGAATAGATTGCCGTTATCTTGTCTCGTTTGGGTTAGAACAAATATTTTTGAAAAGTATTAGTTTTATCATCATATTAATGATTATTATTGTTGTGATATTAAGTAGTAAAATTGATCTCGTTGAAGGTATGTTTCATCCTTTTTACTCCTATTTGAAAGTGTTGTTTGGAAAGGATTTAGGTTTTACCTCAGGCTAGATTATAACAGCTGTACCACACCAAATGGCTGTAAGATCTTTGAGTACGTATTCAGTAATATATTCCTGTCTCAGTGAATTCTTGTGTAGTCTTTGCTTTCATTTCTCAGAGCGACGCTCCTGTTCAGAACAGCCAATTGACTAGCTACGAGTAATTGATTCGCAGTGCTGCATAATGTCTATTAACAAACTGGTTTTGAGGAAATTTACATCTTGATAAAATAACAGTATAATAATATAACATAATACAAATCCAAGTACATGGATTATCTGGACAATGCTGCATGAGGTAACTATTCACAAGCAATGAGCTTGCATGACCTTGCCCAGAAATACTCTTCTATGTCATGTATATCACAAGAGATTCTTTTACTAGTCTACCATGTATTCTTCAATACCCCACTTGTCTTACAAGTAATGTTCCTACATACCACCAACATGCCAATTCTAAAAGAATAAGAATTATACAAAAGCTTAGGTTACAAGTACACTTCATATTGTTATATGCACATTCAAGAAAATGGCTTTTAAGTGGTTGGTTATTGTTGTGAAGAGCTTGATATTTGCAACAATTGTGAGAGAAAAGGAGAGAAGGAAGGGAGTGAATAAAAGTGGTAGTCTTTTTTAGGTGAATTTGTTAGTGAGTCAACATGTGAAATTAAAAAGCAATATATTTGTAAGAATTTTTGGAGGCAAAGCTTTTGAATGAAAATTTAAATTTGAATATTATTTTGTAACAAGTCTAAGTCTTAATGCTTTTTATTTGAATTATAATTGTAAGTAAAATCAACATCAAATATATTATTTCAAAGGTCTTCACAATTTTATTCAAATATAACATTTAAAATACTATTAGAAGTAGGATTACTTAAAATTTTATCCACCTTTCAATTTCTTAATTAATAATAAGGACAAAAAATTTGAAAAGAATTAAATTTATGAAATAAGAAAAAAACATCATAACCTACTTAAGTATCAGTTGGCCTACATCTTTGATTTTAATATTGATATTTCAATAGTAATAACTATTAAGGAGAAAGTTCAATGAAAGAAAATAATCAATTAAGGCTCTTACAAGGAAATATGAAAAAATAAAAATTAGAGAAATATGTATATTAAAAACAAAACTAAAATGACTATTGCCAAAAGACAAAGAAACTAGAGATTCTTGAAACTAGACTAAAAAAAAGAAAAGAATTGATAAGAGTGAAGAAGGCTTTTTTCTTGACTCTATATATATTATCAACCTAGGATCTATGTAGTGACATTCTATAGGACCTCCAAAAATATGGACTTTACATGATACATATCTTGACTTGCAAGGCAAGTTTTTTATATGGACACCATATAAATAGCTTGGTCCACAAGCTACCAATACATATAACACATGGGTAGTTTATTGACCAAGTTTTTAATCTATTAATCAACTACAAACATATATAAAGTCAAAATAGCATCTAAAAATCTTCTAGGAAGTTACTTTAAAAGATATCATGAAATTAATCTATTTTTATTTAATTCTATCTATTCATATTACATGTATAATAATTATAATATATATCTATATATATATATATATATATATCCATAAAATTATTCTCCCTTTTAAGAACAAGTTCCACAAGGAGTGGTGATCATATATTGAGGAAGTCTAAGTTGTAGTGAATTGTATTTGCCACGTATTCTGATCTTTGTTTCCTTTAAAGGTAGTTGATAGGTCTTCTTGGCCATCAGTAATGTCCCATTCTAGGGTGGGAAGACCACCGTGTAATTTTATCATTATTAAAACCTTTGTAACTTCCTTCAAACAAAATATTTATAATACCATGAGGAATTGTATCTACTTCTAATAAAATCACCAAACATTGATAGTCTTTTTTAAAGTCATGATACCAAACACATTATATCTCACCATATATTTGAGGAAAAATATGTTGTTCTTGAAGGTCTTCATTCCTTTATGTCATCTTAAAGACTGTGATAATTACAATGTCTTGTCTGATAAGTTAGCAAATGATGGCTCTTGAGTTAATTCCGCTAGTTGTT